CACCTGTGGGATGTAACCATTACTGTGTCAAATGAACTTTGATATTGTTTTAACAGCTTAAAGAAGGGCAAATGTTGTGAATTACACTGCAGTTGCTAAAGCATCAGACACTGACAATGTATTTTTCTTTCCCTTCATGCAGAGGACATGGTTGGAAATGCAAGGCTTGAGTGAGAATATCTTTCATATTTCCCCACAGCAGCAAGCAGGTATCCAATTTATTCAATTTCAGTTTTTTCTGGATAACATCCAGTTTGCTGGACTGGGCAGCCCACAACTCATCTCCATCATTCATGCCAATGATTAACATGTGAGAGGTGAGCAAGAAAACTCTGCAGTGATGCTGAGGCTCTGAGTAAAAAAAAACACTCTGGAATATAATCTCTACTCAAAAAGCTCCTGTGCTCCATGTAGCACTGAAAAAAAGAAAAGGATAACTAATTCCACATGCTATTCAGTTTTCACAGAGCAGCACCTAAATCACCACTTCCGGTGTTGCAACTTCCAAGACTTAGGCCTTCCTATATCCATTTGAATATTGCATAAAAATTCAGCCTACATCAGGAATTAGGGTAAGAGATTTTCTGTTTATATACTTTCTGAAACCTTTAAGAACTGTGAGTAAAAGAGAAGTTGGCTGATTCTTTTAAGGGGAGCTGTAAATGGAATTGCCACCTTCCTTCTGGCAGCCAAGCAGACTCAGAAATGAGCATTTGTCTATTTGTCTATTTGATTTGAATCTTAGTAAGTCTGACTAGAAATGAAGCTAGCAATTAAATTACGGTTCATTAGCCATTTTCCTGTCCGAGCATCTTCATAATTTTTTCTGACTTGCATGCCATTGGTGGCCAAATTCTGGTCACTTCCCAAGTAAATGTTACATAGGTCTGTTCCAACAGGCTGTGTAGTTCAACAACACTTCAGTATTTGCTTGAGTTCAGCCAATTTCTACACCTAGAACAGATCTAGATGGACTTTCCAAATCCTCAGGAAAAATAAAAACTGCCTTTAAAAAGAATAACTATTTTTGTGATTTAAACGTGTTCTGCTAAAAATATTCCAGCTAGTAAAATGTTCCCTCATTGCTATGGAAGCTAAAATGATTCTGTATCCTTCAACATGTCTTAACTAAATGACAGCTATTATTAATTAAGGCAGAATTGCACCAGGTAGGATGGTCACCTTCAGTAAAATTACAAAGAAATGTTCTGGTACAAAAGAAGGGTCATGCTATTCCTGTTTTCCCAAGCTGTACTACAAATATAGGCTGACAGGTTAATAAAAGCATTTTTAAACAGTTGCGAGAGATCACCCATCTGATTCAAGAATTCTGTTCCTCAGTTAACTTATTATTCAGCTACTGAAAACTTAATTTTCCCATCTGTGACATGACAAAATAAAACAAAAACAGTATTAATATTTATGTTCTAAATGGAAAAGGCTTTCAAAGCATGTTCATAAAGTGGAAAATAAAAGCATAAGTTTTGGATAAACTTTCTGGCATTTTGCATATTCAAAATTTTTCAGTCTTGCTGGCAGGATTTGTTGGCTTAAGAGCAAGAGGTTATAGTTTATAGAAGTTATTAATGGGTGGATAGTGATTTTACTTTTATATAATTTGAATGGTAAGTCTCTATTATAAGGGTTAGTTAACTCTAAATACAGTTCATACCATTAAGAATACATACTCCAAAATTCCCCACAGCTCAGAAAAAATATATTTATTTGGGCTATTTAAATGTTTCATGATGGTGTTTACATTTTATATAAAGGTAATTCAATAGAATGTGTGTGCATATGTGTGCGTATCAAACCTACTGGTAAAACTAATTTGTATATGAAAAAACTTTGGAATTAACAGTGAACTTTTTTCTTTCACATACAGGGTCTCATTTTTAATTAATCATGTTGTTGTTTTCTTATGAAACATGTAAAATCCAATACCTTATGTTAGTGGTATAAACTTGACCATCATTAGAAGTAGCTGATGGAAAACTAAATACTTTGAAACAATTTTGTGAGTCCTTATGCATGGAATGCTTTCCTTGTATTGATGCCTACCAATACTTCCAATTTTCTGACCAGATGCATGCTCAAAAATGGTTACAGTGAATCTGCTAAGGTGACATCAGGCATCACTCTAATGGTCTGCATTTACTCATTGAGAAAACATGCAAAAGAGCTGAGACTTCTTACACATTATTTCCTCACATCCTCATAAGAACAATGGTCAGTACAGGATATATTTATATTATTGCATTAGTTTGCAGTTCAAGTGAGAACACTCATCTTTTAGGCAAGAAACAGGCCCAGCACAGGAGCTGCCTCACACTCAGCTCTCCTGGCAGTATTTTGATTTTTTAATTCAAGCGTAACTATCAACAGCAGCTCACAAGTAGCAACAGGTAGTTCTGTGTGAAGGTTGGCACAATTTTTTCCTTTTTGCATATTGTAAAAAACCTCATCACCACTGCATACAGCACAAGGCAGAAAAAACCCAGTTGTTTACATTTTCCATGTACAGCAGTGGGTGCAGTAAGAAAGCTCAGGATGCTAAGTCCTGAAAGGGATGAAATTATAAAAAGAAAGATTTTTATTTATTTTCAGAAAAAATATTGTAATTTCAAAGGTTAATTTTGATCTTACATTATAAAAATAGAATAATAGAATATGCTGAGTTAAAGAGACCCATCAGGATCCTTGAGTCCAACTCCTGTCTCTGTGTAGGGCACTATGTGCCTGAGAGCATAATCCAAATGCTTCTTGAACTCAGGCAGGCTTGGTGCTATGATCACTTCCCTGGGGAGCTTGTTCTAGTGCTTGACCACCCTCTGGGTGAAAAACCTTTCCCTGACACCCAACCTAAACCTCCCGATTCAGCTTCCTGAACATTATGGGGAGGAAGACACTGCCTCTCTCTTTGAGAGAAAGTGTGCAGGATTTGGGTTTGTTTTTTCACTCTCAGTAGTGATGCTCTCCTACCTTCCTGTACCTGCCCTTTCTTCTTTATCTGGATTACTAAAGCTATTCTAATTTAACATGTAGTGTACATTATTACAGTATAAACCCCAAAATGAGCAGAATCACTTGTGTTTACACACATATGGCTGACCAGGGAACTAGGATAGCAAAAACGGTCCCTGAAATACACATCTCTCTGACAGTTCATCGGGCTCCCTGGGTTGCAGCCGCTGCTTGAGGAAAGGGGAACACGCAGTGGACAAGAGATTCACTCCTGAAATGCTGCATGCTCTTAAAAAAGGCACTCATTTTTTTACTACTGTGACTTGGCACCATCATGTGGCCACTTTGAGTTTGCTCAATTTAAGTAATAATTTACACAGAAAAACATGGGCAATGAATTAGTGACAGTTTAAAAACTATTTCAGTCTATTTTAGAAGGAGACAGTATATATCTTAAAGATACACATTCAAAAACTTTCAAACACGTTGTCTTCCAATTGTCCTTTTTTCCCTGAACCTGTGCTTACTTAATCATGGTTTTCATTATGATCTTTAAATCAGAAGTTGTCAGGCTACAATAGTTAAAGGTATTTTCAGCACTTGGTCTTGGTCCAAACTTTATCAATGATGTACAAAATCAGTATAATACCGTAGACAGCTGCCCCCTTCCTCACTACGAGAGCTTTGGAAATTATTTGCTGGAATTAATGGGTCAGTATTTTCTGTTGTACATAAAAAATCCCAAAACATTAAGAATTTCAGTAAGCGTATTGTTTACATAGCTTGATCCAAACAGGTAGTGTACATATCAGGACATAGTGAGCTGACCAGCAAAGAAACATCTCAGGGTGCTGGTTGACAGCAGGATGAACATGAGCCAGCAGTGTGCTCAGGTGGCCAAGGCCAACAGCATCCTGGCCTGCATCAGGAATAATGTGGCCAGCAGGAGCAGGGAAGTGATCCTGCACTGTGCTCACATTGGTGAGGTGACACCTTGAGTATAGTGTTCAGTTTTGGGCCCCTCACTAGTAGAAGACATTGAGGTGCTGGAGCATGTCCAGAGAGCTACCAAGCTGGTGAAGGGTCCAGAGAACAAGGAGTGGCTGAGGGAACTGGGGTAGTTTAGTCCAAAGAGAAGGCTGAGGGGAGACCTTATTGCTCTCTACAATTGCCTGAAAGGAGGCTGTAGCAAGGTAGGGGTTGGTGTCTTCGCCCACGTAACCAGTGATAGGATGAGATGAAATGGCCTCAAGTTGTGCCAGGGGAGGTTCAGATTTAATATTAGGAAAAACGTCTTCACTGAAGGAGGGGTCAGGCATTGACACTGGCTGCCCAGGGAAGTAGTGAAATCACCATCCCTGGAGATATTCAGAAAACGTGTGGATGTTGCACTTCAGGACATGATAGTGTTGGGCTGACAGTCAGACTTGAAGATCTTCGACGTCTTTTCAAACATTAATGATTGTATGATTTCTGTCTGTAACCTGAGTTAGTCAGATATTCCTTTTGCAATGTTTCAGGGTCAAAATCAAAAGTAAGGTATCACGTGATGTGTATTTACATTCTGATAGCTTTGTATAATATTTTCAGGTCGATATAAGAAAGTTTTACCAAGTGTTAGTTTGTAAAAGGCCCAGAGGGAGAAATCCCCATACATTCAAGTTGCTTATACAGAGCCACTATTATATGCTTATAAAGGGATTGCTATCATTTACTTCAGAGTAGAATAATAAGAAGCAGCAGTGTAATTTATAGGAATATATTTTCAATATTTTAAAAAAAATATATCCATCTAGAGTACTTTCAGGAGTGAAATACAGTTCATCATCTTCTTTAGTACAATAATGCTAAATTTGGTTCTGCCTTTTTAAATGCTAAAATACATTGTTTCAGCTGAAATATTGTATTGATGTTCTTTAAAATATTCACAAGTTATATACAAATAAAAAAAATTACATTACAAATCTCTTAATGGCAGTCAAAAATAATCTAAAGATTTTGCAATAATTTGTACACCCAGATAGGTAATGTTGTTTCTAAAAAGACTGCAATAAAATGGAATGTAGTTTTTTACATTCCTCAGGCTGATGTAATGCCCACTTCTTCTTAACATACTGAATGTCTATCTGTCCAGATCCTTTGGCCAGTGCGATGCCTAATAATCCATTTAGTTTTTCTGGTTCTCCCAATAGAGCCATAGTTACAACACTGAAATCAAAAGAAGAGAGGACTGGTTTTTAATTGAGACAAAAAAATAATAGAAATTGGTGTTTTCAGACATTTTTTAGCAGGTTTCTTAGAGTTAGCTACATGATTCCTTTTTCTCTGTTCATCACAGTGTACTATTGCTCACTATTCCAAGTCCCAGCATGTTATTTAGCTTTTCACTAGCTGCAATCATTTAATGTAAATATAACAGGCAATTATTCCTGTTTTCACAGATTCCATTATCAATTTCCAATCATGACTTAAAAAATATTTCAAGCTTGTAAAAATGAATTTAATTTTATAGTATTTTCCAGTACATTGTAATAACTTTAAAAATTATATTATCTTCTCCCCAAACTAGCAGCACTTTGCTATACTTTAAAAGATTACAAGGAAAACTTTTAGTCAGAGGCATATTCACCAAGATGAACTTAAGTCTAGGAAAGAGAGAGTGTCCCAGTAGGGTTCCCATCAGGGAGGAAAGAGAATCCTCAAGACAATAATTCAGAAAGGCTTAATTAAACTGCTTTTCTGCATCAGTCTACAGGATACCCAGGTGTCTACACTGACAAGAGAAACAGTATTGTGAGATCACCCTGCTGTTAGTCTTCCTGAATAGGTGGTAGCCAAAAGTATTCTTGTTTATTTGTGACAATGAACATAATGTATTTTTTTATATTGGTAACCATACTATATAGAAGCATTTTCAAATGTCCAACATCTTGCCTATTTTAGGGGTTGATTCTGATCCAGCAAAGCTATTATTTGAACTTAGAACAGTCCAGTAGGAACACAACTTTTTTCAGCTGCTTCATGTACAGACATCTGCCCCAACTGATAACACTACACTTGATTTTGATTTATTTTAACATTATTTCTCTTTTATCAGCCTGTATGAAACAATGATAAGGATAAATTAAAACTAAAATTTAGCTTGCTATAGTCTTTTTCCACACTTCTAACAGTTTAAAAAATACAGAAAAGCATATTCTAAAAAAACCCATCCAATATTTAAGCAAAATGTAGATGATAATGTTGCTATTTTGTTAAAAAGATAGTAATGTGATGTACTTACGTCTCTGTTGGAATAGCCTGCTTTGCCACAGGCAACAAATCATTTTCCAGAAGATCCCAAATGTAAATATTAGACAATGCATCCAGGACAAAAAACACAGAGGGTCTAGTTAAAGCCCACTGTAGGGCAATAACTGGCTGCCCATTTGTGCTGTCATTCCACTGCATGAGGGGATACTCTGATGTCATTTGGTGTAATCTAATGCTTCCATCTGAACAGCCAACCTATATTGTAGTCAAAAAGAAAATACTTCCTGGGAACAAAACAAACTAAGCAAGATAAAACCTGCAGTTCAGTTCTTGAAAATACAGAGCATATACATAAAAGTAGTTACCTGACTCAAGTGACACATCTATCTCATATCTCACTGTATGGACTACTGGATTTTATCTTTTAATGCCATTTTAAGTTCAAAAGGAGTAGAACTATACTAAGCATACTAGAGTAATCTAATCCATTAATCCTGGGATGAAGTCCTAATTTTCTACTTAAAAAAATAAGATCTCCATCTCTCAATGTCACTTTTACTACGAAGCAGCACAACTTGAAGGTAGTCTGAAATAAGGTGAGCTCAGAGCCTAGAGAGAAATTCAGGAGGCTACTTAGTGACACATGTAATCTGTAAAACAAATAATAGCTTTCAGTAGGACAGACTGTGGTTAACAATATAATGATATTAAACTGATTCATGTTGAAAAACTAAAGCCAAAGTCAGGAAGATTTCACTGCTTAAAGATATTTTCTTATAACGTGTCTTGCCTAGTATAAGCAACATTTACAAATTTGTTCTAATCCATCTACAAAAGAAACTATTCTATGAAAACCAAAAATAACTTATTCCCTGGGCCACCTCTAAATCTGGAAGACTTCCTACAATTTTCAAATTACAATGACTTTTTACAGTGACTCTGCAAATTGCGCTTACATTTAAAAGGACTCTGCAAACTTGCAGAAGCCATTCCAAACAAATGCAATTGGGTAAAAGGTAAGAACATCTGGTAAGAGAAAGTTCTGACTGCACAGAGGAGCCACAAAATACATACACTGTAGCTAAACATATTAATTTGATACCTTAGGCAATCCCAGCGAAGTCATGCAAATCATGGCAAATTTAGAAAGAAAGCATTTTTAAAGCAGAATCAAGTACAAATAGATACAAAGATAAGCAGGTAGAAAACCCTACTAAAATTAGATTTAACTTTCATTGAATTAACTTTCACAAGGGAGACAAATAAAAACAATGGTGTGTCAATTTGAACTGCTGAGGGCAGATTTGGACACATCTGACCACTTGGTACATGCCAAAGGTATGCCTGCTCTGGAGAGGAATAGAAAGCAGGGAATGAATGTTCAAAGCTGCTCCACAGACCTTTATTTCACAGCAATACAAATGTTTTGTCTCCAAAATTATTATGTCATTAGAGTGAGAAACAGCTGAGGCTTCTTTTAGAGCAGAAGACCTGCTTGCAATGCTGAATTTCATAAAAACAAAGAAAACATGATAAGGCTGAAGTAAGATTGTTATTTATTCCTGTGAGCCAGATGGTCCACCTTTCACATAAACAAATTTCAAACACCAGGACACCCTCCTGCTGTTACCCTCCATGGCAGATTGGAATTAGTGAGGTAAGTTGCCTATCGCTCCTACTTAACTATAACAAATTAGAAATCCTCCCTCAGCAAGTAATTAAAAAAGGAAATATATATTATATGAAAATGTTTTCATACCAAAAATAGTGGCTTTCCAAAAGGGAAGAAATCAATTGCATTGATGCTTATTGATCTGAGTGCACTCTCCCGGGGTCTGAATAGCTTTGGAAAAACTTTCAAATCATGCCTTGTACCGTGGCCTACCAGCCCCTGTGAACAATGCAAAGTAAAATTCAACAAGATAAAATAAAATTTGCTTTATCATTGTTACAAGACAAAGTTAAAAATTCACAGAGCTGCTACCTTAAAAGATACTTAATAGCTAATAAATTTTAATAGCTAGCAGGTTTTAAGAATAGTCTCATAGTAATATATATATATAATATAAATAATAAATGCATCAGTCTACTGGTAAAATTCCAAGAAAATGGCAGCTTTCAAACCAAATAAAACCAAACAATTAAATGAATTTCAGTACATTACTCACAATGTTTGTTCCAACAATGAAATTATTAGGATTAGAAGACAGAAATTTAATAGTCAGTGTCTGGGGCATTCTCTGGCGCACATCCTTTGGGAAAAGGCTAGGAAAAACATAAGGGTAAAATATGATATAAATGTAGGAAGTTCTCTGTTAAAACCAGGCAACTACATACAGGAACTCTTGATCTGAAATGTCTATGACTAGCTCTAGGAAGAAATGTGTATTAAAAAAAAACCCCAAATACTAATGAAGATACTGTTAACAGCAAATTAATACAGTATAGCAAAAGAATAGCTCTGTGAGATACACATGTAAAATCTACATGCTCCGATTTTCTTACCTGTTATTTAAGTCCATAGTAGAGCTATGGACTAACTTCACTTTCCCTCCAGGAATTAAACCTAAAATCATATGAAATAATTATTTAAACTGATCTAAGCACCCTGAATTAAGAATGTGCTAACATCAAATTAAAACCTGGACAAATTAGCAAAAGGGTATTTAATAAATAAATGGTTTATTGCAGATACAGCTTTTGGTATGTCAAATCTGAACATTTGTAATCTATCACAGAAAACAAAGAAAGAGGACAGAGAAAGGGAAACATGATTATATGCTTATTTTAGTTTGCAGTATGCATATAACATCCTTGTAATATCACCCTATAAAATCCAGTTCTATCAATGGTGAAAATGCACTTGGATCTCTGACAATGAACTATAAATAACGACAGACTGTAATCATGCTTCTGTAAGGTTGGTATAGGTTACTTGTCAGTAGAGAATAACATCAATAATTCTAATGCTTCTAACGTAAGAATTTTTTGAAAAGCAAAAAAACTGAATGCTGGTGGCAGTAAAATGTGTCAACATGCAATCATGGCTTTAAAATGCACTTTTCCACAGACATAATAACCAGCTTTAGCAGCTTAATATAGCCAGACATTATAAATTAGAAAATTGATCCAAAAAAAGAGTTTGTTAGCAGTACTTCATTACTTACATATACATTTGAAAATGTATCAGGATTGTAATCACAGCCTTTTCCAATAAGGTAAGCAAATCTAATTTTGTTCAAAGAACAAAACATGTAATTTTCTTAATTCACACAACTCAAAAAGGGCTGAATGAATTTTGTTCTTTATTCTTACCATGGAAACTTTTCTTTCACACTAAATAAGTACCTTACCCAAAAGAGAAGTTTCAAGACAATTAGCAAAAAGGAGATATAGACAAGAATAAAAGTATTGTAATAGGGTTTTTTTTGAAAGTAAAGAAATAGGAGGATTGAAAAAAACAAAATGCCATATTCTTTGAAAAAAAAAAACAACCAACCAACCTGTTGAGGACACATAAATCTGCTTTGACATCATAAAAAAAAAAGTGGTTGCTGTTGGCAATTACCAATATAGAATTAGCAGACAGGGTTCAGATAGCAGCAAAAATAACTCTCATGATACCTGACCAATAACCCCAAATATCAAATACATGCCCTATTCAGAATGTATCTTTTCCTTAGTAATTCTGCCTTCTTCTAAAGTACCTTTTGTCAACTTCACAATCTCAAAACTCAAGCATTATATGGTATTTCTAATGTGCAGTACTCACCTAAATCAGTTTGTGAACCAGCCAAATCCACTTTTTGTAATTCAACAACCACCTGAAAAGTCAATATTTAACATTAATAAGCAATCATTATTTACAAGACTTTAAAGTTTTTTAACCAGTTGTCACAATGTATGGCATAATTTAGATAGGCAGGTCTAACACTGCAATGATTTCAGGTAGACTCTATCCCCTGTCAGTGGTTTGCAATGCTAAAAATAGCTGCACATGGCTGCTGGATGTTCCCTGCTGGAAAGCAGAATATGAGATGTTCCAATGTACACTTAATCACTAGTTGTCATCTTGTTGGTCAGTCACAAAAAAACCCACTCAAAACCCCAATATAAGGAATTGCAACACATCTCCTGTACTACTATTCATTAAATAGAAAGGGCAGATCATTTGGCCTATGTATGTTGCTACAAAAGTTACCTAGAGCTTTAAGGGACTTAACTAGTGACAGAGAGGGAAATAATTTTATCCCTTATTATTCACTGAGCCACTCTCAAGCAAGATCAAAACATCCAATAGAAAGAAGAGTTTTCACAACAGTAAATAAGAGCAACAGACCTGGTGCTAACCCATCTGTTATGTTTTAGGCAGGGTAATCTTACCCACAGATCTTCATATTTTGCCTCTTGAAAATTTATTTTATATAAATTACGAATATTACTTCTTACATACATTCAGTACAGTCTCTGACACCACTATGATTCAAAAAGAATAAAGCAGGAGGGTGAAAGAGGACCAACGTCTACTAGTCAATTAATAGAAATACCTTAACATATTCCTATGCAGCAGAACTACTGACCACCTGTTTTAATGAATCCATGTACCTGTTAACAGTTTTGGCTAAGGATAACATTATGGCATTAGAGAGTCAGGTCAAAAACTTTGCAGAGAATTCCAACAGAAGGACTAGTGCTGCTGTAGTTTTCAGGGAGGAAATTCTCATCAGAAATCCTGGATTTGAGTTGCTACATTTGAAGAAGTATTTTATTATTCCAACTTGCGAAACTCTTTCTTTTCATACATATATTACTCACCCACATATTGAGGATTCCATTTTCATCCATTGAAGCTATCTGAAATGGATGACTTGATATTTCTATGGAAGGAACAGGAATAATTTCTATTCATACATTGACCTTCATCTTGAACAATATAAAAGGCTTCAAAACATTTCCTAGGTTAATATATTATCTGAAACTTTTATTATCATCTCAGCTGTGTAAAAAGGGAAAGTGCTGGAATTTTACCAAAGAAAAAGACATGAAACTAGTATGTTCAGTTTGTCTTACCAGGTAGGCAATCACTCTCGTTATCTTAAAAATGTTGGGATTCTTCAAGGACTTTGGAACAGAACATAAAGTACAATAGAAAGAATCTTGTAAAATTTGCAATATGCCACACATGTCTTTGGACTACTATGGATTTCAAAGTGAAAATTTGCAACTGAAGTAATAATGACTCCTCTATCACACTGCCTGGGAATTTGGGGGCATGTGGATTAAAGTTTGTTCACAAAAGTTAGTCATAAAAAAATTAGACAAAAAGCACAGAAATAACCACCAAGTACAGTCACATATTTTAAGTGTTTTCAGATATAAGCAAGGAGCTCCACTTTTTTAGATAGGGGTTTTTTTGACATTTTAGGAGCACTAAGACTTCTCTAAAGGCAACTTTCGAGTGGTAACTTGTTTTATCATTTGTTTCATTAGATGCTTAAAGAAAGACTCAGACACATTGATGCTTTGAACCACAGCTTACATACCCTCCTGGTAGGAGAGGCTTGAAAGTCCATAATTTGGATCAGCGTAGAGAGAGGCTGAGACAGGTTCCACTGCTAGTATAGGAGAGGTGTGGCTTACTGAGTTGAGAATGCCATCTGTAATTAAGGATAATGAAAAGTATAGACCGTATGCTTTTCAACACAACCAACAAAAAACCTTCACCACTTTTCAGCTTACTGGAGAATGATGACTGTAAAGAAAAAATAGCAAATAATTACTTTGTAAATAATTACTTCATAAAAGTCTCAAAGACAATCAATGTTTCACCACCTTGTGTTTACTTCTCATTTTCCAAATGACTGCTGCACCACTTATGCCACTGCAACAGACATTTCATTAAAATCTGCTATTTTAGGATTCCCATTAAAAGAACTACATGAATTTCAAGCTCCACAAATAACAGGGGCAGAAATAAATCACTGCTTACTACAGAAAAGACAAAACTGTAGTAAAATTACTCTGACAGAGCATTATTTAATAGAAGTAACTGTGCTGAAACAAACAATTCACCACAAGAAAATATGTATTTACCCTTTAATAACATTTTGAAAGTGAATTTAGAGCAATCTCAACATACAATCTTCCTCAGATACTGTTAACTTCTGGACTTGCTCTGTGCACTGAACTTAATCTCATTAAAGACCAAAGACATAAATCTTCCTAAGTATGCAGCATTAAAAATGTTTGCTTATATAAGCAACTTCATGAACCTGTACATACACATTGTGTAACACAAGACCAAGTATCTTTAATCTACTAAAAACAAAATTAAAGTCTATCAGCAACCAAGTTAACTTTCTTCTGGCTTCCCAATATATATGCAACAGCAATTTAGGTCATATCTAAACAATGCAACAAATTAATTACACATTTCTTTTTTGTAGCTGTGCTTGTTTGACATTAGGAACCTGGAAAGAGCATGCTGTAGCTCCCAATGGGCCCCAGTGCTAGAAATGTTGCTCATGTGACAGTCCAGATGGCAGAAAAATGTTGTATATGTAATGAAAATATGAGAAACTCCTAGATCTTACATTGCTACAACAACTGATAAATTGGCAGCGAAACCCCACAATCCTGACCTAACTTTTAGTGTATCTAGATAGAATCCAGAAGTGATAAAGTTATGTGTCATTTTAGAAATTCATAAGGGTGAGATTCATACCCAAGATTTAGACACTCAGTAGGGTATCTACATATAAGACAGCTATATAATACCTGTAAGTGACCTAAATCTAATCAGTACTATCAATCCAGCTAACCATATACAGGTATCCACAATAGCATGAGACAGACCCCACAGAGTGGAGCTGCACTGATTCTAACAGAGGTGATGCATGAATACACTTGGACACGTACCTTGCATACAAGCTTATAGAAACATCAAGACTTACATGGTAATTTGTACAGATTGTGACCTTTAATTGACATTTGAAAAACTGTGTTTTACAGTCTTAAATTACTCCTCTCTTTAGAAAAATACATCTTAATGCATGTACTTAGATGTAGATGTGTTTACGTGTAGATAAAAAAGAATTACATATTACGAGAGATAATAGCATGAAAACTGATTAGGGTAATGATTTCAGATGAGGCAGCAGTTGAAATGTAGTCCATCTTACCATTACAATACTCCTTAGGTTTTACATCTGGTCCATCTCTCTCTTCTCACTGCTTGATGCATATTGAGCTGCTTATAATTCTTCACAGGTACCACCGATTGGCGATTTTTACCAGACTAAATATCATCTCTGAACTGCCTAAACTAGGCTACCAAGAAGAAGTGTTCTGTGAAGAATTACTAGTGGAATGTTTCACTGCCCACAAAATGACTAATCAGAAGGCATAGATACTGACCAGTGGAAAACGTTGGCACTCTGAATGTCCAGTCAGTTTCACTGATCATCATATGAGGGTGCATTCTCACCTCTTCTCGAAGATCCCACATCAACAATGAACCATCTATTGTTCCAGCAAAAACCAAGGTTGCTTTACTGGGACTGAAGCAGCAACATACCACCTGTTAGGCAGCAAAAATACACATGGTTGATATTATGATAAAGGCCAATAATTTGATAAGCCTGAAATATGTTTTTTCTTCCTATGAATGCAAATCCAGGAAAGATAGATTACAGGTGTTTGCAGCAGGACAATTTATTTAAAAGGGAAGTAGAGATACAGGACTGTCAGTAGGCCTTGCCTTTTCAAGACAATTGTGTAATCTACTGCCACAAATCTGAAGGGGGAGATTGGACTGTGTGATAGCAATGGGTACAGGGAAGTCTTGACAACATTTGAACCAGCTATTTTACTTCCTTTCACTCTTCAAACATAAAATGAAGTTAAAATTACAAAAAACCCCACCCTAACCCAATGACCATCACCACATTCTAGTACTGGAATACAAAACGGAATGAGAATAGTGTTTTGCTCACTAGGCTCAAATGTGTTTCTTAAAAGATGAAATATCTTGCAGCAAGACAAGAAAACAAAATACACATAATATTCAACAAAACATACCTCTGAGTCACATATTAAAACCTTTTGAGGACTGGAGGGCTGCCAGATGTTCCAAACACATATGATGCTCTTTCTGTTCAGTAAACCAACAGTTGCCTTTTTAGGTAATCCATGAACAGAAAGTAGTGTCTGCCTCTGAACTTGAGATACACAAAGGCAGGATATTTTTCTGTCTAAATCATAAAAAAAATTTGGAAAAAAAGCAATAAATAAAAAACTCACTGCAGACAAAAAAGCCTATTTAGCTGCTTTAGCAACACCAAACAAGCTAAGATGTAATGATGAATAGTATTTCTATTAAAAGTGGGTTGCTTTTCACATTACACAAGAAAACAGGAGGGACTGGAGAAAGAATCTAAATATCAGAAGTAAGTAGAAAGCAAAAAGGCAGAGAGGCAGAAATAGACTAATTATTCTGGGGAAAAGCAAGCCAATCTGATCTGATGTCAGTATATATACTAAAATTCAGCTTAGTCTCAAACAGGGAACAGCACAGGCCAGGCTTTTTCTGGTTCATCTTGTGTTCATGTTAGAATACATATGGTTTTGTATTATAATAGGTCTTCCTAACATAATTACAGATACTTTATTTTTCATTTTTCTTTTCATCTGAACGTCCCCTACTTACATGGGGAAGATATAACTGCAGTTCAAATATATCAGGCTATAATCTCCCCATTTAATAATCTTGCTTTGTTTGCAACTTTGGCCCTGCTGTCAGATTAAAGAGCCTAAATGAAATTACATCCCTTGGGATGGCCCTTCAACAAGAAGAACAAGAAATTACATCCAGGCCACCCCAATATCATGCTAATCACTGGCTATATTTCTGGTTTCACAGCAGCTAGGATGCTCTGATGTTTCCTATGTGAAACCAAGCTGCACAGAGTTACAAGCAGCTAGATAAGCAGTTATAAGAAAAGTGGTGTTTTCATTATTTATATATCCTGATATGTGCTGTTTGCACTTCAGTTATGACAAAGAGCATGGTATTTTGCATAAGGAAGAAGAGTTCACACTGTATACTAAAAAGTATAGAATGAAGTTCTCTTACCATGGAGGAATGGCTGGTTAGTATTTAACTGGAAACAGCTATCACTAATAGACAGACTGGTTTGTCCAGATCCTAATTTCCACCTGGGTTGTGTTGCAACTTGATCTTCCTCTAGCAAAACAGCAATCACCTTTCAAACATAATTACATTTATAGAAATAAAAGGGTCATCTTATCTTTCAGTTTTGCTATCTGTAACTTTAATGTATGTGGATTAATTTAATAAACCTTTATGAAATCTCTTGTTAAGTTTGTATCTTTGCAAAAACAGCTCTACAGACATAAAATTTGCACACCTCTGGTTCCAATCCTTTGCAAAGAGATGAATGTCACTGATAACGAGCATTATTTAAGTAATTTATTTAAATTAGTCAGAATAAGTACTCTAAGTGATCTATCACACTGTATACTTAAGCACACAACTCATAAGGGATGTTAAGTACTTCAGCGTACCTGGCAAGCAGACCGGAGGAAATCTGTTAACCTCTGTGAATCAATCTGAGGTGTTAGTGCTCCATTCACTGACATGGCCTGGCTGCTTATGGGACCTAAGAAAAAAACCAAAGACAAAACCACACTCGAAGCTTCAAAAGGCAATCAGTTAAGAAAAGCATAAGAACCATGTCATTCTTCAGCATGAGGAAAGTGTCAGGAATCAAATTCTCTTCAGCAGAAATAGCAGTACTGAAGAACAACATCTGCTGGGGAAGAGCAACAGCAATCCAGAAGAAATAGACTATTTCTGCCACTTACTCTTCACACCCCTCCACAAAGGGATTCAAGAGTGCCTATAGTAGTTTGCTATTGATGCAGACTGCCACATTATAAATTCTGACAATTAATGGGTACAAAACATAGAACTTTACATGCACGCATACATAAGTGAGTGAGATAAAAATGTTCTTCACCTCCAGATACAAGGGCACTTTCTCCTGGATGCTGCGTCCACTTCTCCAACATCTCAACTTCCTCAGTCTGAATGTCTCTCTCGAGGTTGTCCTCATTACATTGAACATATGCCTAAAGTAGAAAAATAAAGGGATCAATATAAAGGTGGCACAGTTAAGAAAGACAGCACATAACTGAATAGAATTTAAACAGCAATTTTAAAGCTGATGTGCTCAACCTTTTCTGTTTGTAAACTTAGACCTAAGCATACTGATACAGCATCATTATTTTGTGCAAGCATGTTTTACCACATTTCACAGAAGAGTGCCAGCCCTGCTGCAAAAATACAGAATGGCTTACATTATGTGTAAACACTAAGCCCAGCATACTTGGGACTGTGAGCCACAGACATATAGAAGGTTCTTTAGAAAACAGGTAAAGAACATGAGAGAGTTCTCTTGTAACACAGAAATGGAAATGTTCTGTTCAGTCACAACCTTTTAATTCCATTGCTTTGTAGTCATTAAGGCTTAGAGATTAAAATTATTAGTTTATTACTTTACTTTTCTATTAGTTTCAGTATCTTTCTTTTGTAAGGAAAATTATTTTCCAGAACAAGAATCAGCACTTTCAGAATTTAAATATTACTACACATTTGTTACCCACCTGCTTAGTGTTCATTTTACCAAAGTTCCTGATATACATGTCGTACTCATTTACAGGAGGCAAATCCAATAAAGAAAAACTAACTGAGAAGTCCAGATCAATGAGAGGGAGAAGTTCTGAACTCCGTTTTCTTCAGAATGAATTACAAGAGACAAACACAAAAACAGTTAAGACCAAGCATTTGGTATGCCAAAAGAAAAACAACACCAGAGATCTAACAACCCACTGATCTACGCAATTTGAAGCTGTACCAAGATAAAAATGTATGAATAGAAGTAAATATATTGTTATGAGTTCTCCTTTATTGTTATTCTAAGATAATTACCATATTTGAAAATGCAATACTGATTGCAAAAGGTAAACCTATGCAATTTATTATTAAACCCAAACTGTCAAAGCCCGGCACTTTAAACTTACCAAAGTATTCAAAAGCTTTTCTGGGAGGTAATAGATTAATGTCTTTTTCTTCCTATACTTTGGACAGTGGCTAATTCTCCTAAACTCACTCTATTAACTTACATCACCTATATGTGTACATGCTTTATACAGATCACCTATAAAACTCTGGTGGTGTTAGACATGCAAATGTATTTTGAACAATCTCCATTGGCCTGAATTTGTATCCACTAGAGAATCAAATAACAACAGCAGCAACCTAAAATATATTTTAAATATATACATTAAATAAGTGTATTTCTAATCAGTAAGACAGTGTTTGAAAAGGGAAAAGACTAGAGCAACATGAGCTGGAATTTCTCTTCCAATATTTTAGGCTGGGTTTTGCTTTATACATGAGAACAATTTTCACATCTTTTCCCTACATGATGACATCTATTGCATTTTTCTTACCCATGTTTTATTTTTATTTCTACTTCCTAATACACCACCTCTTCTCAAACATTATGGGCACAGACTGCTGAAATCTAATGCAACTGTATGAAAGTTGCTTCCTAGTTGCAGATCTTAATGATACATTAAGACAAATGCTTAAAATAAACTAATAAGCCTAATAATACTTAAAACTTCAAAGTACTACAACTCATCTATGGTATGTTTTCATTCTGCTTACTGGTAGCAATGTATTATCACAGAATTAAATTCCACAAAACTTTTCCCTTTCCCTAAAAATGCTAGTTATCTTCATAGGCTACATATGCTGCTTGTACAGTTATATATGTAGTATAATCAGAGAACATAATCAGTAGAGGCTGACAAACACTTCAGAAGGCAATTCTTCAGAGATGCCTTCCTGAATTTCCTTATCAGTATCCACTGTCTAGAGAAGAAGCCTAAAAAATGAACTTGCATAAAATCTGGACATATAAATTTAGGCAAGGTGAATTAGCCTAAATGATAAAATCTCCCTTTTGTGAAGATTAGCCACTGATGTGCAGCCATGAAGCAGTGCAATCTAGTATTATCAATTAAATGTAATATTCTTGCTTTATACATCCAATTGATGTAACAGAAAACAGGGAGATAAACACAGTGCTTTAGATAAATCTGGAGCCCCTGGTGAGTTCCACAAGAAACAGGTATCAATTTCTTTCTTTAGTACAGAGCTTTCTTAGATGTGTCAAATCTAGAGCAATTTTAGATCAGTAATAATATGTTTTTACACCAACTAGTGTTATCCCTGAATGGGAACGTGCTGTTTTGGCAACACTTTGTACAATATAGAGTGTTAATTATTTCAAGATATTGCAGAGCCTTGAGACCAGCTAAAAGGCTTGTGCTTTAGAGCTATAAATCAATATCAAATTAAGCAACTGAAGAATCACAAAAAGAAATTTAAATCCTGGCAACTTATTCTGTAATAAAATGATACCCATAAAACTGATATATAGGTGAATTTCTGTTACAAGATTACATTTGCAATGCCTGTAAATTTTATTTACTGAAGAACTAACTACTGTTAGCTTACAAAATAATGTTACTCTAAAAGCCTCGAGGTTATGAACTTCATGTATTTCAAATATAATGAAAAAAATTACATCTCACATAGGGAGCTGCTATTCTGTGAGGTTATTTCAAATCTACTTACTTCAGCTTACTAGCAATATTTCGGCTACTTTGTCGTTGGTTTGCCATTTTAAAATCCATGAATATTCCACAATAAGAGTTTCTGACAGCAGGGTATTTCCTTTCTGTGACATTATAAAAAATTGTTAGTGTTATAATTCACACTTTACAGTGCATTAAAATGTAAAGCTGTAAGTCTAAAAAGCAACAGATTACAACACAGCCACTAGAAGTTACTAGTTTGAACATTACACAACATGCTCTAGCACAGTTACCACTACAATAACCTTCTTCTGTTACGGATCAGCGTTTTTCCCTTATTAAGCTCCTTTACCAATAAATTCAAAATGACTGGCCTTTGCAGTTTTTATTTTAGAAGACAATGATGCAGAAAATGCCTCTTTCTCCTGCCATTAGCAGATCCCTTGTTCCTCTGTGTGCAGTACAACGAACTCTAAAAATTGTATCAAATTCACACAGACTCCACCATGTACATACGGAAAAAAGATTTCATCACTACAGCTAGTGGAGAACCTCATCAGCAGAAGCTTAATGGAAGCATTTGGATGAAGAAGCAAAACATTGAAAACTGATGCTTTAAAAGTAACAGTTAATGGAACAACTACAATATCTGATGTCATGTTACTCTCTTTTCTGGCTAGGTGGTAGCTAATTGACCTTAATACCAAACTTGCAGTCAGGACCAAAGGTGTTTCACTCCCTCAGAGAAAGACTGCTGTCTCAGATAATACTATAAAATGCTTTTAAACTTCTAAAAATCATAACCAGAATGATCAACAACCATTCTAATCAAATCAGATAAAAAATTAATCAAAAAAGTGTGTTGTGTCATTTACAATAAAGCACTAAGAGCTACAATTCAGAATTTAAAAATCTGATTCTATATTAGAATTGCATCCTGTTCATTAGATGTATAGCCTTAATGGAATTCCTGTATTGAGTCCATATTGTTAGAAAAATAATAAGTGAATCAATCTTCTGCAAGAAATTCGTATTACAGTACGATGTTTCTGACTTGCAATGACTGCTTAACTGAAAATCTACTGATACTGTAAAGCCTTACAGGAATTCTCTGCTGTTCTTCCACAACTGTATTAATTTTGTATGAACTAGAATAAAAAACTTTCAGATTCTTTAGCACACTGATTCTGTACTGCTGTTCACCAGAGTGGAGAGTGCAAAGGGGAACCAGAGCTATACTTAGTTAAATAAGTAGATCTAGCACAGATATCAGATCAACTAACAATTCCTTAGTCACATTTCGGAAAAAAAATGGCATTTTAAAAGTGACACAGAGCTGTATATTTAAGTATATCTGTATTTCTCCTGCCTTCCCACCCAGAGAAAAAAAAAGCTAAAAGAAAAGCCAAAAGAAAAAGCCAAATTAATGTTACAAAAAGCCCCAAACTGTTCTAGCTCTCCTCCAGTTTTCAAAATCCAGACTCTCATATCCTCTTCTTACCCAAAATAATGTATATTAAATGTCAACCTCTAAATTTTTATACTTCACATTTTAAATTATTAGTAATGTCTGTGACTCATTCTTTAGCAATATGCAAGCTACAGTTCTTACCCAAAAAAACTAAGTGACTCATCCAGAGCACCAGATTTTTGCCTCTAGGCAGACTTCTAGAAAAAGTAGCCTGTTTACTACTAAGTTGTACGTGTTACTCATACACTTAATAAAAAAGACTGGCATATAGTCACATACCCATAATTGGTTCCTTTTTTTCATTTTCTGTTTCATTTGGCAGTGAAGTGAAAATTCTATCATTTTCTGCACTAATTGCTCTTTGAATTTCTTCAATTTCAGATGTTCTGGAAAATTTAGTCTCTCTAAGGTTTTCTTCTGTGTCTCTTTCTTCACCACTTTTGTCTTCATCATCATCATCAAAATCATCTTCATAATCCTTTAAAAGTAACAGGACTTTCAATAACTAATAAAAATGGATTCTAAACTTATTTTTCATTATCATTTTAAAGACGTTTTAAAATGCTGTCAAAATACAACATAACAATAAAAATTTTCATATAGATGGTTATAAATCCTCTGTCTGAAAGCCATTTTACACAGAATCACAGAATTGTCATGGTTGGAAAGGACCTCTGAGATCACAGAGTCCAACCATCAATACAAAAAAACCTCAAACAAACACAACCAACTACATAGACTCCACCAAAAACCACCCACAACCCCCCCTGCAACCTCAGCTACTAGAGCATGCCCTAAAGTGCCACATCTACATGTTTCTTTAATACTTCCAAGGATGGTGACTCAACCACTTCCCTGGGCAGGCTGTTCCAGTGCCTGACCACTCTTTCAGTAAAGAAATCTTTCCTAATATCAAACTGAAACCTCCCCTGATGCAACTTCAGGCCATTTCCTTTAGTCCTGTTATTATTTAGTTGGGAGAAGGGGCCAATGCTCACCTCTCTACAACCTCCTTTCAGGTAGTTGTAGACGGCAATGAGGTCCCCCCTCAGCCTCCTCTCCTCCAAACTAAACATCTCCAGTTCCCTCAGCCATTCCTGGTATGATTTGTTCTCAAGATCCTTCACCAGCTTGGTAGCTCTTTTCTGGACATGCTCCAGAACCTAAATGTCCTTCCTGAACACAGTACTACTCCAGGTGTGGCCTCACCAGTGCTGAGTACAGGGGCATGATCACTTCCCTACTCTTGTTGGCCAGGATGCTATTGGCCTTCTTGGCCACCTGGAAATGCAGGACCCGACACTTGGCCTTACTGAACCTCATACAATTGGCCTACAACAGCATGTCTTGACTGTGCAGTAATTTTAATCAAGAAAAGACAATCCCACAGTACTGCTTCTATAGTGCCAAAAAGATTTTTTTTCCCAAAATATCCTAAAGGAGGAATTACATGATCAGGTGAATTATGTGCTCTTCAAAGAAATCATGTGTTCTTTAAAGAAATAAAATTATAGTGTTTGGTGGTGTAAATGCTTCATAGATATACAGAGTTATTTATTTGATAGATTAAATTCAATTTGGCAAGCTCAAATGTACTATACTATATTATCTGTTTGTGAGTCCATGCATGAAGTTTATACTATAATAATTCTCTTAATTAAGACAATTCATCTCATGCTAAAACAATCACCTCATAAATGTGCTCATTTCTCTCCACTGAACAGTAAAGGGCCACTATAGTGAACATCTCAACAGTGGACATCATGGAAATGAACAGCAAAGATGTAGCTGGTTCAGCTAGCAATGAAAGCACATTCAACACACTCTTCTATCTTAATAACTTTAAAATGAACAAAAATAAAGCTAAAAATAAGAGCATTCAATTAAACAAGTTAGTGGGCTACTGTGGGTCAATACTTTTTTCTATAATTATTTTTGCAATGAAAAACAAACAGGCTTTTTTCCTCCTGAAATGGATTATTTTCTCCCATTACTGTAAAAAAATCAGCATTTTTCATACAAAATTATTAGACAATTGAAATCCAGGAAGTCAGGAAGAGCATCTTGTGAAGACTTCAACTCAAAAGCAGAAGTTGGCTCCCAGTCCCTGATGAAAACTAAGTAAATATTTAGCAGAGAGTTCCTACATAGTATTTTAATTACTTATTATCTACTGTTAGCCAAGCTAAGGTCACTATCACCAAGAAAAGAATAAGTAAAAACCATGTAACATCCTGTAGTTTTTATTTCTGTGAATAAAGTTAATAATTATTTTGATACATCATAATTACTTCAAAAGGATAACTGTATGCTTTTACTTACTTCAAAGTCATCTTCATAATTTTCTGAAAAGTTATCAAATCCCTTGTCTGAATTAGAGATGTGTGTATCTTTTATTTCCTAAACAAGAAAAGTAAATCAAACTATTAGATAATCTTACAAAAAATTAAAATCTTTTCTGCTAAATCTTAGCATAAAGATAGATGAACAGTTGTTCTTCTCATATATTTCTTTATTTCTGAGCCTTACAGATTAGCATCAGTGCCAGCTGCTACATGGAACTTCAGCTGTCAGAAGCAAGAGAGGAAGAGGACAGTTTGGATATAGTAATTGATCCAGGATGACTGTTGGCCACAGTGATAAGAGCTGTGCAGACTAAATCTAAGAATATGTCAGAAAGGTATTTATTTCAAGAACACAAAGTATTCATGGAAATTGAAACAGAGACAGCTGCTAGATTATGAGAGGAATGAAGAATTTGGCTTGTATAGGTCAGCAAAATTAACTCAGAGAAGAAATAAACATTCTTCCTATAAGCTCATTAGGGGAAGAAAACCCTAACAAAGTATTTGACCTAAATGCTAGCACTAATGTATTGGAAATTAGAAGAATAGAATAACAGAGGTCTTGAAATATCCTTGAAAGAAACCTATTGCTGCCGTGACAACAGCCAGGTTTTAATACCAGTTAGTGTGGTTGAAAGATATATTAAAGATATATGGCTGCCCATAACATGAGAATATGGAAAAGGATGTCTTCATTATGCACTATCTTATCACTCTTTCCTACAACATTCCAAAATAGAATTTGGATTCTGGGAGGATGGTTATGAATGGTTAAGAATATGGCAAAATATTTAAAAACTTTTTGTGGTAAAGTTAGGCTGTATCAGCACAGACTGGTCCAAATAAATCCAAATCTATACAGTTTGCACTTGCTGAAAACTTGCACCTGTCCCATTGAACATATAAAAATACTTCCCTCTTTCTCATGGCAAGGGTTTTACGAGACTTACTTGAGTTGCACTGCTAGCTGTATTTTACTTTAATTGCCTATGTCAGCTATTTTTAGAAAGAAATCATATACTTTAGGTACATATAGATGATTTGTATTACACATCTAAACTCTTCTCACTTGCTGAGAATTATTTTTTCAAGCATAGAAGATACTGAAATACAGTTGAATTGCCTTCAATGTTTAGCAAATTTATATAGAATAAACCAATTTTCTAACTGATTGATCTGATCAGTTCTCTAAACTCGAAAGTTAAGAGATTCCTGAACACAAATATATATAAACCTTAACTTAAAATGTCATTATATTGACAAAGATATTGTAATTGTTATTAATCCCACGAAAAATGCAACATTCTAAGTTACAAAGCCTAATGGTCTTACCTCTTGCCTTGCATTCTTCTCCTCTTTTTCAATGAGTTTTCCTCTGTCTTTTACAGTTCTGTTGAAAAAGAGAACATAAAATTTATTTGTTAACTCAGAATAAAACCCTAGTTCGGCTTTGGTTTTGTTTTCTGGATTTAAAAAATTTTCTTAGAAACAGTATGTTGAAAATTTCCAATAAACTGAAATATTCCTACAAATATTTTTCTAGATCTCTATGATATGAAATTATAATGAAACAGCCAAGTGATTAATCAGCTAAGAACGGCAAAAACCCTGTCCAAATATAATGTCTGTAATTGCATCAAAATGGAAAAAGTAAGGAGGACAAAACCTACTAAACCCACACATCTATTATTTGTATTAATATCTGCAACAAAGTGGAAATCAGTCTCAGGTTGGTGTAATGTGTTCTAAAGCTACAAATCATTCGAGTCTAGTCTTTCATTCTGGGGCTTTACTTATGAGAAAAATAAAGTCAGGGTAAGAGAGCAGGAGAAAATCAACAACCAGCTCTGCTCTTTAATAATATTACAATATTTTATAAGTAGAGTATCAGAGTTCAAGAGGAGAATGTTCTGACTTCTTAAGTAAAAGGTCATTCATACATACTGCTCTTGGGACTGATGAACATAAGTAAAGGGAACAATAAAAATAAAAATTTGACTGGATCCTCTCCTAACAAATAAGAATTCAACGTTGACAGTGTGTGAGGCTGAATCAGAGTTGTGGGACATCCCAGTAAACCATATTGCCTTCCTTGACACATAGAAATGGCTAACTCCTTTTTCCCAGCTATGCACAAGCAATGACCCTCCCCAACAAACAACAGCTTCAAAATATAACCTGTGTATTTGGCACTGCTTAACACAGTTGAGTGATGCTGCTAGGAAGCATCCCAACATATGTATTCTGAAATATTAAATTTTTTTTTGTTTTCTACAGAAATACACTTCCATAATGACACATTCAAGAAGACTAAAGTGATCTGTCCCGTACATAAGAAATAGTAGTAATATTTAGTGAACAGTGGTAGTGACTTCCTTATCTCTGTCAGTGTTCCTAGAAACAAGAAGGGCAGTTTTATCTTGAGAAAGGAAGCTAAACCGAGATTTCAGAATAAGAACAGTGCCTGACAACAATACCTGGAGAATTATGATTCAGAACGTGGTATAGGAATTTCACATGGCCAAATCATTAAAGAATGCAAAAAGAACTAGAATATAGAGAGAACTTCTGTAAGATTTTACATTTATTAGCAATAAAATTTAGAAATATCATCCTAAAATTTTACTGATCCTACTGAAGATGACCTGGACCTTTCCCTTTCACATAAAATAGTCAACATACTATACATATATAGTGTTTTAGACACCATCCAGAGTAGAAACTAAGTCAAGATATTAAAATTAAAATAAACAATCTAGGACAGTCCTACGTAGTCCATCATGAACCTTACATGAGTCCATGTAACTGCCCAGTGAATTTCCAGGTGGTAAAATACAGTCTTTCTGCCTCCCAAACTACGTGCCTAGAGAAATATATATGCAATTTGCAAGGACTGTAAAGTAACTCTTGCTATCCAGGGATAGAAAAAAAAATTGAATACAAACACATACATTTTTATACAAATCCTCTTAGAGGCAAAACAGATTTTTAACCTTTCTTTTTAATTGTTATAGTATTGGTCAAAGGACCTATGAAAAAAAATATATATTTGCCCTAGACATCTGAGATCAAGAATTTATTCTTTTGTTTTGGAGGTGACTGAATCTTAAAGAGACAGCATACAGTATATACTTATTTTAAATCCCTGGATTTACCTTACAACTTGATGGTTCATTTGTTCTTGAATCCTCTCCTCTCTTTTTTCTTCGCTGTTCTGTAAAATAAATCACAATATTCATGTGTCAGAAATGCTGGGAGGAAATATGTATACAAACCTGCATTAATAGTAGTGACATTAAACACTAAGGAAGGTTTCTAATTAATTATTCCAATGACCCACACTATTTTCTCATCAGTCATTGCTTGTAAGAAGTTCTGTGTCTGAACATCAGAATAATCTCCTCCTTACACATTGGGTAAGCAAAGAAAATATATACTCATAAAAGATTTGTGATACACCTAGTATGAGCTTCTCCTGAAAATATTAAATACATGGGAGTGAAGCTTGACTACATCCCTTTCTACAATGCATTTCAGAAAGGAAACAAGGCAGGATCTTGAATCTCTTTTGCTTAAAAAAACCTTCTAATAATTTATCAGAGTAAAGTCTGACTTTTTTATAGGTACCTTTCCATTAGAATATTAGTAACTATGCTTAAAAAATTCTCCAGGCCCAGTGTATACTGCTTAAATTCTGAGCCCAGAGCACCTTCCTAAATAACCTCTAGAGGTGGCTGAAAACCCGATAGGGACTAAGGGCTGACCTCACCAAGGCTTGGCCAGTCTGCTTCAAAGAATGAGATTTTAACAGTATGGACTGCAACAATTCACACCAGCTGGACCCAGGAACAGAGAACAGCCTCAGACTCTTAATCCCCAGTAACAGGGACTTAGGTTTGCCTAAAGAAGTTGTTTAATACCAAGGTGCTTTTCTCTGTCTGTGAACATCAGAAAAAGAAACACAAGTCTGAGACAGAAGCATCAGCATCAGTGAGTACATTCTGTTAATAGCTACTTGAGTAAATTTCCAAGGAAGTCAAACTTTGGACAAGCTTCTGACAGGCTTGAATTCTACTGACAGGCTTGAATTCTACTGCAGAAAGTCAGTTACAGGAATTGCTAGTGGTGGTGGGTCCCTACTCTGAAGATGCCTAGTACCTTCACTAGAACATATACTTCTGAACTCTTATTTGAGAAGCTTGTACATCTTCACTCTTCCGGCAGCAGAAGCAACTACCCTTGACCATCTGAATGGCTCCATGTTCCATGAAACTTATCTGATTTTTAAAGTTACAAATTACTATATATTTCTTCTCCCATTCCTGTAGAATGAGTACTTGTATTATCTCTAGGATATAACAACCTGCTCTGTATTAGAACCGTAGAAGATACACTATGGCTTCAGATGCAGAGGCAAAACAACAAATATAAATGATGCACACTCACATGCCTATTTGTGAGATAGACATCCATGCTCCCTTTATAGGCAACATCAAAAATAAGTTTCTATTAAAATATTTTTTTTCCTATAAAGGCAGCCAATATATTTTAATGAATCTCTGGCCTAATATAATCTCTACTTCAAAGTGTTAATAAAAATTTCAAAAGTCATAGCAATAAAGAATTTATGAATAAAAGACATTTCTAGCAAATAGACAAGTTCTAGTTTTAAATTTCATGGAAGGAATCAGTTCTGGGTTAGGATACTTAAATGCGAATGTAGCATTTTAATCTACCACTTTAGCTTCAAGTTTCAGAAAATGTTGACTTACAATTCAAATACTTTTATTATTCACCTTATCAATGATGAAATATCAACAATTAAACTGAATTATAAGGTAATGTTTCAAAATCTTTGAAAACTAACCCTTCGATCACTCTTCTTTCTTTCACTTTCTCTACTTTTCAGTCTCTCAGTAGCTTCTTCTGGTTGTCCTTCTCTGTGTCCATGGGAAGATCTCTCTTTAGATCTCTTTGATTGATGCCTTTCTTCTTCTTCATAACGTTTATGACTTCTCTCTTTCGAAAGCCTGTCTTTTTCTGGCCTCACAGAATGCTCTTTTTTTTCTCTATGTCTTCTTTCTCCCTCTTTATCTGACTCCTGATCTTTTTGTAACCTGTGTACCCGTCCACCTTCTTGAACTTTGTAGGCTAAAATTTTGTCAATGTTTCTTTTAGTATCATAATCCTGCAAAGAGAGAAAAAAATAAACAACATGAAAGAGTTAGAAAACTCTCAAAACATTTTATCTTCACAAATCTATCAATTTTTGACCACTAAAATGATGGATTTGTAAGTAACCTAGTATTTTCTGGCATGTGGGTCTTCTAGCCTTTTTATTTTTTTAAAATCTCCTATGATGGCAAGTTTCAAAATATTGTATCACTTGAGATTCCCAGATATAAAATATCATATCACTTGAGATTCCCATGTTTCTTCTGGGACATTGCATACTTTGCTACAGAAAATTCTATGGATTATGTATTCTTCACAGAAAAAATTAATTCTTTGTTTACTAAGTGGTATAATATAAACCAGAATGGATACTTGCCAATACCCTTGTAAAGAAGGCATAAAGGCATAAATAGCAGATGGAAAAATTTATGTAACTATAAAATACTATTTGCTATGCAAATTTTACTTTACTTTTACTTAAAAAAAAAAAAAAAGAATTAAGAATGGCTCAGAAACATTTCATTGTTTTGTGTTTTGCACCGTTGTGAGGACCTTACTATCTCTGCATCTCCTGGATTTCTTGGGAACTGGACTCTGATCCAGTTTCTTCATTATTCTACAATTGTATCTCACTCCATTATGGAACACTTAATTCCTTTCCTTCCTTTACCTTCTTTTCTCTATCTCTTCTTTCTCGCTCTTCACTTCTTGTTTTCTCCTCCTCTAGAAAATATATATAAATTAATGAACAAATGTTATTATATCCAAAATCTGTATATCATTAACTCTAGCAGCTAGAAAATAGTATTTCAGTTACAGAGGTTTTCTACAACATCGTAACTTTCCAAAAATAACTTCATACTCCATTAAAACTTTCCATCCAAAGCTGGTTACTCCTTTTTTTTTTTCCTAATGAATCCTTCTGTTCTCGATTGTCTTGTGTAATAATAAGAGTAATGACACGTTACTAACTTCAACCATCAGCCTGCAATTTGAGGATTCAAAAGGATCCCTCAGTAGAGAATGCCTAGGCAGGAAGGTATTTACTCTCTTCAAGTCAAACAATCAACAAAACCAGTGACATTCACTCCCCTCTTCAGAGGAAGGGAAACGAGCATCAAATTTTTTAAAAGCATCAAAATAAAACCAGGTTACTTCAGGATTCAATAAAGACATACATTTCAGTAGGTACTCAAACCTGTCCACTTTTATAATCCATGTACAGATAGGGTATGGTTGCAGAGTACTTCTATCTAAATATAAAATATTTCAAAGTACAACAGCAACCCAAAGCAACTTACCCAAATGATGCCTGCTTTCTCTTCTTCTGTGATGTTCTTTATCTCTTCCTTCATATGATTTCAGATTGTTTTGTGTATCTATTTGCTTTATCTCATGTCTCTTATGCTTTTTGTCTCCTTCTCTATCACTCTCCCTGTCTTTATCTTTTGGTACACTGTATTTTTCCTTCTTTAAATTTGACTCTTGAAGCTTATATTTGTATCTTTCTTGGTCTCCTTCTCCTGAGTGCTCTTTCCCCCTCTCTCTCTCTCTCATTTTATCCCTCTCTCTTTCACCAGATTTAAATCTCTCTCTCTCTCTTGTTCTTTCCCTGCTCTTCCCTCTGTCTTTGTGTTCATGTTTATGAGCATCTGTGTCATGAACAGACTTATCTTTTGACAGTTTCTTTTCTCGGTGCTTTTGGTCTTCATTTTGACTACCTGGTTGTGATGCCTGAAAGAAGGAAAAAAAATAATTCTATTATAATCCAGCAATCAATTATCATATAGTATATTCATATGCGGGGGGGGGGAGGAAAGTGGACAGCTAACCATTAATTTAGTTTCCCAAACTGTATTACATTTTCTATGCTTACTTAGTAAAATTATCAAGATTGTGTCTGTACTTATTGTAAAAAGAAGTAACAGGGGAAATAAATAATAAACTGCATTTTCAACGTATTTGAAAAGAATTTGGTAAAAAAAGGAAATTTACTGTGGAACCGTGCATTCTGTTTACAGAGAGGCTGAAAAATTAACTACACAACTTAAAGCTGTTAGCTCTTGCAGACAGATATTAGTTATCCACTGTGGGCTGGAACATTTGGCTCCAGCAGGGTTTTGAGGCTGGGAGAGACCAGTGACACCCTTTCACAAGGGGGAACTTCCTTCCATGTTCTTTCAGGATGACCTCTTTGAATCCTGGACACCCAAAAGGGGTCTGTGTCCCCAGTGTGCAATAACCCAACCCGCACACAGAGCTGTGGCATTTCTTTATTCTAGTTCTGCACAGAAAGGGGTGCTAGGTGGTAAAGCCACAAAACCAGCCCCCATAACACTGGGCTTTTCATACACAAGAATATGCAAAATCACCTTATCTTTAATTATACCAATATAATTTGTCTATATCATGGGTTAACTAGTTCTTTGCTGCCACTTTTAAGTGGTAGCACTTCTTCTTTCACTAGGTGTGGTCAGAGGGTGGGGGCTTTTGTGAGTAGGGGTCCTTCCAGCCTGAGGGTATTTTAGTATGTTAATGAGGTGAGTTCACCATAGGTTTAATTAGTCATTGCTTTCTGTTACCTGTTTGGCTTAGAATTTAAGACTACAGATATCAACAGTTTGTATCTTCCCAGGGAGGCTGTGAATGCCTCATCCCTGGGAGTGTTCAAGGCCAGGCTGGATGGGGCTTGGAGCAATTTGGTCTAGCAGGAGGTGTCCCTGCTCATGCAGGGGGATTGGAACTAGGTCATCTTGAAGGTCCCTTCCAAGCTAAACCATCCTGTGACTCTGTGATCCTGTGATTTATCAGAAGTCATAAGAGATATTTTAACCTTTCTGAAGCAAGTAGCACAGCTTTCACTGATTTCACTACATCCATGATTTCAGCTATTTATCCAATGCAGACCAAACGGAGATTGTTTTGATTATAATCAATGAGTAAAGTGAATGAAACTTTATCCATCTGTTTCACAGAAATTAAAGTCCAACCATACCATTTCTGTTGGAACTACAGCATTTCAACTCAAATTTGTTTGCTTTAGCCCACATGGAAGCAGTGGAAATGTTACCACATATCTAAAAAATAAAAAGTACTTATACTGCAGCACTGGCATTGAAATAATGGGAAGCTTTGAAATGCAATTGATAGCAAACTAGGTAATAGATTAACAAGTAGGATGCAGTAGTTTATCATAGGACTAATAAAGATCTGCATAGGAAAGAATCACAACTCAGAAAAGAGCTTAAAAAAATTTATCACAATGCTAATATGAATATCAATAGTGTAACTGACTGAAGCCTGACTGCCTATTTGACCAGCAAATAAAGCAATTAACCAGTTTCAAAGTGCATGGCAAAAATAACAGATTAAGATAATGAATACATTACATAACATACATGCAGGAAAGTGAAAAAGTACACATACAGCAGAGCTGTAACTTGGATTGGCCAACAAATCAGACTCTATTGTGTGCTGTGTGAATTCCGTAACAATGGTATTTTTTGCCATTTACCAAACTAAGAAATCTATACAGTGATTCCATATTACTTCTGTAGCTAGAAACAGTTAAGTGGGCCAGCCTTTGGACACACTTGAACAAGACAGATTCCATAAGTCAGCTGTGTCAGGGAAGTTAGCAGCTATACATTGAAGATCTGCACTGTTTGTATTCAGTGATGTAGATTTAAAGTGTCTGGTGTTCCAAAAAGTCTTAAAGAGCTACTAAAGATCCCACAAGGCACCATGGCTAATAGAACAGTCAGTCAACCCTTCTATATCTCCATAGCAGGCAGGTTGGAACTAGATGATCTTTAAGGTCCCTTCCAATCCAAACCATTCTATGGTTCTATGATTCTGTGTAGACTTTCAATAAATTCTGATGCTTTATTGTAACATCAAAACTAGTAGAAATAAAATAAAATCACCCTAAGATGTTTCCTCAGTTCTTCAGATTTCCAAGTATCTTCTTTGGTTCTTCTCTAGAACAGAAAAGACAGCAAAGAACTGAGTAATCAATTTGCAGAGAGAAGTAAGTAATTTCACAATGAATAGTTTTTCAAAGAAAAGGATCAAGGTCTTGATGTCAAGTACTACTGAATTTTGTAATGTAAACATTACAGTGATTTAGCCCTCATGTATACTTGCAGCATAACTGATCTGACTGGACATGGAAAAGACCTGAGACTCAGACTTCTACTGGATTGTCCTGCTCTGTACACACATGGTAACCCAGTTTTGAGGTCTGTACCTATGGTGGAAAACAAGGCAGCCCCTTCAAGAAAGACTTAGAATCGGTTTTCCAATGACAGACCAAATGGGTCCACATAGTCAGGCTGCTTTGGAAAGCAGGCAATATATCAATGTAATTCGGTTCAACCACTTCTTCTATTAGAACTAACTTCAAAGTTCTGGTCAGGGATTTATCTAGGTGAAGTTTTAATATTCCTGAGGTTGGAGTTTTTCTGAGCAACCTTGGTTTTGGGTTTGAACACTCCCAACTAAAAATGTTTTCCTTGTACTGAGTCATAATTTCCCTTGCTGGCAGTTAAGGCCACTACATTCTGTCCTCTCACTCACTATACATCTCAGAGAAGAATCTGGCTCCACCTTTTCCACAGATTCTCTTCTGGTATTTGAAGACAGCAGCTAGACCCACTGTCACTTTTCTCTAGTCTGAACAGCTCCTTAGCCGCCTTCCCACAACCATCAGGGCTCCAGATCCATAAGCAGCTCAGTGCCTCACTCTACAATCTCTTTAGTACCAGAGACCTTAAAATCAGACACTGGACAGCAGGC